CTGAGTTTCTGGTTCCCTCGGAAGGCACCATCATTCTTCTGGTGCCTCGAGTGTAAAGCCAACAGCTTTGCATCCCGTTTCCCTCTCCCTTCTTCCAGGTTTGCTCAGCTGTCAGCTCTGTGGTGTTTTCCACCTGTGATCACCACATCCTGTGCATGTGCCCTTGTTTCCCTGTGCACTGCCTATGCTAGCCCAGCCCTTGGTCCATTCTCGACTGGACCACTGCAACTGCCTGCCGGTCTCTTCGTCTCCAGTCTCTCCCAATGGGCTTGCCACAGCTGTGCGGGGGGTGCAGCTGTGACCCAGCCAGAGGAAAGCCAGGGAGAGGCCAGTTCTGTTCCCTGAGCTAGAAGATCAGACATGAGAATAGGGCTTACTTCAAAGAGGAGCAGAGCAGGACAGGACAAATCATAAAGTCCCGAGTGGCTTGTTGCTGAGAAACAGCCTGAGGAGGTAAGACTGGGTAAGTGGATGAGGTGTGGCAGCTGGGCTAAGTCTCAGATGCAGGCAAGTTTTGAAGTTCCAGGTGATCAGCCCTTTTGGGAGCAGAAGCCTAGCCTCCAATGGGGGGTGGGCAGCAAGTCTGTTTCCCAGTGGAGGCAGCTGGCAAGAAGTACGCGGGGACCAGGGTAGGGGAAAGGAGTGCTTCTCGGGCAGAAGTCCAGCATTCTGTCTGGGAAGAGCAGTGCAAGCAAGGGGGCAGTGGTTCAGGGGGCTCCTTTGTCTCCCCTGGATGCAGGTGGCTTGGCAGCCCTCGGAATTCCTCAGCTCTGGGTCTTCACGTGTATGGACCCCTCAGCCTGGAATGTGCCCCCTCCCCACAACTTCCGCATCCCCAACTCCTACCCATCCTTAAAAGGTCTAGATCAGGGGCCCCTTCTTCCTTGAGCTGTCACTCCATCTGCAGAGCTGTGGTATTCTTTCTTGGACTTCTGTAGCCTTTTATTTCACCTCCCTTCCTGCATTTTCCACTTTCTACCTTGGACTAGAGTTACTTATGTTACCAAGTTACTAGACTAAAAAGCTTTTTGTGGGCAAGATTCAAGCCTGAGGCTAGCACAGGTGTGTGGCCCAATATATAGCCGTGTGACTCAACGTACAGTCCTTGATTTCATTCAAAAATGAATAGACCACAGTTTCCCTTTATTGGTTTCTCGGAATCAGCCCTTCAGTGGCTGTCACCCTTCACGGGTCTGTGAAGTTCACTGTGGTCCTACCAAGTCCTGATGACCAAATATTTCTACTTCTTCTTCCTCTGGGAGCTTGAACCCCTTATGTTTTGGAGGCCACATGAGTAGTTCTGGGCAATGAACTGTGAAGGAAAGTGACATATATTCCTTCTGGGCCAGAGCACTGAGGCCGGGATGAGACCCTTCCGAGTGCTCTTACCCTCGGGCGTGGCAACTGGCAATGTCTGAGATGTTGGCTGCTCTGTCATCCTGAGTTCCCCTGAATCAATTCGATGAGCAGAGCCCCGCCTTGCCGACCTGTGATGAACATATAGCATGAATAAGAAATAAGCCTTTGTTGTTTTCAGTCGCTGAAATCTGAATGTTGTTACTGCTGTATAACCCAGCCCAGCCAGCCAGACGCATTTACCCTGATGGCTGATCTGCTCTAGATGTGACTAGCACAGCGGCAGATCCTGGTGGCTGGTGGGTGACCTGATGGGAAGTCAGAAGCAAGAGGAAGCTGCATCTTTGGGCCACAGAGTGCTTGTCTCAGCAGTTTGGCTCCCTTGGTGTCTTCTCACTGTGGAGTGCCAGTAATTCAGATGCAGATGTGCAGGAAGAGAGAGTACCTTCCACTCTCTACTCTATGGGTTGCTTTCTAAATTAATTAAAAGCTGGGGGTGAGCAGAGAGGATATTCTATTAAGTTAGAATGTTTTTGTTTTTGTTTTTCTTTTAATTTTCGAGTCTGCAACAGGATTTTCTCAAGTTGCGTTTTATGAGAATTAGCAGGATTCCTCTCCCGGTAGGCGAAAGCATTGCGCTTTCCCAGTATGAGTGTGTGACCCCTTCCCTAGAGAAGCTTCAGCATCTGGAGTGGCTGCTTGTTGAGCTCAACAGCTGAGAAAACAGCAGAGCCCCGTGTACCAAATGCCCTGTGAGCTACAAACCTGACAAAACAGGTGGATTCCAGCCTTCCGGGGTACACAGGTATTCCTTGGGCAGAATAAAATATGAACAAGCCCTTCCACTGTACCTTGATTGAAGGGAAGTGGTTATCTATGTGAAACACAGATTAAAAATAAAAGCTTTCCAGTGTCCTGTGTGTGTGCTGACTGCTAAACCTCAGGAATGTACGATGATAAGAGAAACGGGCAAGAGGAGATTTAATTGAATAAAAACTCCAGGCTGTGACAAGGGTGGGACGACACAAAGCAGTAATTAACAGCATACTTTTTTAAATGACCATGCAATTAATTGCATCCTGAGTGTAAGGGGAGGGAAGGGGAGGGGAGAAGCATTCTTCAGCCTAGAAACACTGCTCCATAAAGGGAACTTTGCACTTTCAAAAACATCGATGTACAAAAGGCCCTGGTTATCATGACTTCAGCGAAGCCCATATCGCCAACCCAAGAAAGAGGTTACTCGTGGCAGAGGAAGCTGACAAATGAGTCAACCTTGTATTTCATTTTATTCTTCAACTTGTAACCATTTTATGCTCATCTTTGAGGGAGAGAGATCAGGGTAGACAACGAAATGGGCAGAAATTCAGGTTCCATTCATGCTTTGGGTTGAGGACTAGTCTCGCCTGAGGATGCTGGAGGCGGGGGTCCAGGAGCTGAGAGCCTCCCTGGCGTGGGCTCCCCAGCCTGTAGATGTTTACTAAAACTGCCGTAGCGGGACTGGTAGCAGTCGGTCAGGGTGGTGTGGAGGCTAACCATAATCTGCTCAGGAAATGATTTTTCACAGCCGCTGGGAGGCTCACTCGTGTGAGGTGGCTGCTTGGACATAAAAGGAATGCCTCAGAGCAGTGACTCTTCCATGATTCGCACTGATCCTATTCCCTTCTCAGTCCTCCCCATCTACCTACAGGTTTGAAGACGACAGCTGGACATGTGTTTCAAGCTCACTTCTGGAAGGAACCCCTCGCACTAATTTCTGGGCTCCCTATGAGGCTGGAAAGTCAATGCCCCCTTCATAGTTACAGGACCCCCAGCACCTGCCCAATGATTGAGATGGCCATCTCGATGGGATCATTCTAGAGTCAAGAAACAGAATGAAGTTCATGGCCTGTTGGAAGTCTTGTCATGACCTTGAGTTTCTTCTTCTCTCAAGAGAACATCCAGCCGCAAGGCCACTTGACTGGGAAGGCCTGTCAGTCACAAGACTTATCTTTACACCAATGACACATTAGCCCCTAGCCTAAAGCTCAGTACAGGGTGAATTCTCAGTTTATCTCCATTGTTTTAAGATGCAAACTTCTTTTGCCACGATATCCTGTTACCTCCTGCCCAATCTGGTCATTTTAGGACTTAGGAGACACTACCCAAAGTTATATCAGCACAGAAACCTGATAACTTGGCTTAAAACAAGGGTTACTTTATTGAATCGCTGCTCCTAAAGCATGTGACATATGTAAAGAGTGAGACACAAGGTGTGTGAACAGTTTTTACGTTCTTGACCTGCCATTGTTGAAGGAAGCGCTTCTTCAGCAGACTTCAGCAGCAGTCACACGCACAGCTCTGGAAATTGGCATTTCACAGCCACAAACTGAAGTGAAAACCCACCCACACATCTACCAGGGCTATACAGACTGAGATGGAGCAAATCAATCTAGTTCTAGGGGGTTGGTGGGAAGGCCACTATTAACTCAACAGAAATGGACGATTACAATACAGAATAGTTCAAACATTCTTTTTTCCTAAACTGAATTTGACCTACGGTAGAGATCTAAAGAAAAAAAAAAAAATCCTTCACTACCACTGAAACAAACACTAAAGTCCTTTATAATCTATAGAACTAAAGTTTAAGATGAACATTGTCCTAGCATCTAGGGGGCTGAAATAGACTTAAGCTGACTTGGTTTTAATCAAGAAGGTACTGTTCATAAAAAGACTACACCTATTCCTTGGATTTCAAAACTTCCCATTCAGAAAAGAACATTTTATGTAGTTTTTTCTTTGATCTCTTTAGGCATTTTAAACAGTTGCTTGATACTTCATGGAACTATAAAGCTAGGTATAATGCAGAAATCATTCCAGAACATATGTGCTTCCCTTTTTTTTTTTTTTTTTACAAGAAGGTTATTTTTGAGAACAAAGATCTTGTTTTCAAACAAATATGGTCATTAACTGTGGCGCGCCAGAAAACATAGGGCATGTTCGTTTCAACAGAATTATTCCTAAAGGAAGTGACTCAGTTCCCATGAGGAATCAAGACATGTTCAATTCACGAGGACTGGGAGAGAGGAGCCCTGCACGACCAGCTGAAGGTTCACAGATAGCTCGGAATGCTCCCAATTTCAACATGGGGCCAGGAGTCCACATCTCGGTTTATGTCACATCAGCAAAGAGCTTCTAAGAGTCGTAAGCAGTAGCCTTTGTAAAGGCTCTTCGCTGAAGCCCACTTAACAAAGTAGCCATTGCCCGTCTCCCACTTCCCTCTCCTCCGGGGTTAGGGAGTTCAGTGGAGACACAAAATTTCAGAAACTCAAACCACCTCCCCCTCAAAGACGACTATGTTACACTGTATTTAATAGAACAAATGTCAGGGCTCTCCCCTCTTTTTTTTTCTCTTCTTTTCTTCCTGACAGCAGATCCATAAAAAGTGAAAGAACCAGAAAAACATCACCTTGGGAGACAGAAAAGACTAAGACAGATCTGACCACACGACAATTGTCTCGGCCTTGACCTACACGGGGCAGCTAAGACTCTGGAGTGAGAGGCACTGCCCCTACCGCCGCTGCTGCACAACACTGTGTTTAGACGGTTGAACAAGTGCAAAAAGAACCCTGCTGAGTCTCGTTGGTGTGGCCCGGCCCGCGTGCAGCTCAGGGTGTCGGAGGTGGTCTCGGAGACGGGCACGAGCTCTCGCTGTCGAAGCTGGCGGCTCGGCCCTGCCACTGGGGAGAGGAGAAAAAGCCACTTACCCGTTGCCAAGGGAATGTACATTTCAACTTTTGAAGCTCATCCGGCCCATGCACTGAATTCACCTTTTCCCAGCTTTTCATAAGCTTTCGTGAATTTTGCTGTTAGCCATGCAAAGATGTAAGGAGACCAGCTTTCGAGCTTCTAGTTTGGAAGGCCTGATTTTTAGAAAAGACCTGCTGCAGAGATAATGAAAGCTTTCTCTAGCGTGTGGAAGGCATGCGTGCAGGTGTGTGTGTGTGCACGTGCGTGCGTGCACGTGCGTGCATGTGTGTTAGTTAATGAGGTGCTATGACTGGACCATTTCTGAATGCTTCAGCCATTTTTCATGCTGAAAATCGGATTTTGTGAGCAGCGAAAGAGGCCGTCTGCAGAGTATGCCCTTACGGCCAAGATCCTGCAATCATGAATTCTTAGCAGTTTGTCTGGGAGCTGTTCGTACAGCTAAAGCCCTGATCTCGCTTCAGCGCTGGGCTCTCCTCTTCAGTCTGAGTGCTTCCCGGGGGGACTTCACACTCAACTTGTGAAGAGGTGGGAGGAGATGGCAGCCCCCTGCCCTTTCGGGTGCCTCCACCTTTCTTTTCCTCCCTCTCCTGTCTCACAGGCTGCCACCCCCTCAGCCCGACTCTAACCCCTCTGTGAAGATGGTGATGTAATGAGGTGTAATGGAGTGAGGAGAGGGCTGAGGGTGGATGACCCACGCTTGGGCCATCGAACCCTTCTCTACATTGAAAAGCCAGGCAGAGCTGGAGCCATGTTTTCTGGACAAGGATCTGACCCTGTGAATATTCCAGAGCCGTCTGGTGACTGTATAACTTCAAAGCAAGTCAGTGTCCACTGCTCACTCCATCCTTTCTGTGAGCAGAGGAGACGCCATACTCTCCTAGGTGCCTGCGGGACAAGGCTCCAGGGAGAGAAGTTAGGTACGTGGGTGAGATGGCCTTTCTGAACCTGAAGTGCAGCCCCTTTTGCTTCTCATGGGTTTTTGGGGTCTCCACGTGGAGGGATGGGGCTGAGGAGAAGTGGACTACACCTCTGTGTTATGTGTAGGGGTAGGATGGGGAAGGACGCGGTCCCTTCTCCACCCCACACCTCACAACACAGCCCTTTCTAGACAGAGCCGAGCCACTTAAGGATTAGACCATCCCTTCCAGCATCTCCTGTGGGAACCCACAACGCAGAGGAGAGACCCAGACCTGCTGATTGCTTTCATGTTCCTGGCTCTTAGGAAAGCCTCTGTTACCTGTCCCCAGGCTCGATCCTTCATGGTCCCTTAGTACCCACTGGGCAGGCCAACCTGAAGATCTTTACAAGTAATCAAAGGCTGGACAGGCAGGTATTGATGACCACCATAGCGTGACCTGGGCCTGAGCAATCTTAGCATGCGAAACCCGGAGGCAGGCCTGGGGGATCATCGAGGCTAGCTCTTTTGTTCTTGCAGATAAGAAAACCAAGACACAGAGGAGTCAACGCACAGCTCGTTAGGAGCAGAGCCAGGATCTGAGGCCAGGTCTCCTAACTCCGTCCACACTCAGTGTTCCCTCCGCTCCATCCTGTGGCCACCTTTGCACCTGGCCACATCAGGAGAAGAAGGAGACACACAATGGAATAAGAAACCTAACCTCTTTGGTGCCATACCAGGTACTTACTCCTAACTCCGGTGGCAGTCTCTCTGATTGCAGCATCCACGTGAGTGAAATCACAACCGAGGGTTTCCCTGGTGAAATATTTTACATAAATAAATGCCTGGTTTTTGAGCCCACTGTGACTTCTGACTCAAGCGTTTCTTAACCAGAAGGTGACATAAGATGATTACTAATGCTTTCATTTAACAGATCTTCATTTTAGAGCTTCTGCTTTTTCTGTTACAACCTTTAATGTCGGTGAAAGGTACATTGTAATTACTGGCTTCTCCCCTGGGTAAGCATGCCTCTTAAACAACCCGACTGATAGGCCAGCTCAGAGGAGGAGAAAAAGAAAGGGCTACACAGAGTACATCTTTCTTCCTTTATATAATAGCTCAAAGAGAAGTCACACGGAGCATAATTGTTTATCCAGGACACATGAAGAAGGCACACTGGCTCCCCTGCCAGCCCCTGATTTTTCCTGTGAAGATAAACAGAGGGAGGAGATGGGGTTCCTGGACAATGGGAAGATGAATGGTTCCTGTAGGCTTATCATGGTGGCTCTGAAATAGCAATGAATTGGTCTCCGGGACACCAATGAGGATGATTATTCAAGGGCGGCTGTGGTCCAGTGAGATCTTTTATTGTTCTGAAATGTGTGACATTCCAACAGAGATATAAAATCCCTGGCAGATGATCTGAATTTGACCCTTCATAGTAAACCGCCTTGGAGAAGATCGCTGGTCAACGTGGGCTGTGTGTGTGGTGACAGCGACAGCACGTAGCATTGGGCAGGAGTGCTGAGAGGAAAGAGGCCACAGCCTCTGCTGGGGAAGGATGCTCACTGTGGCTTAATCAATTTTTATTCATGAAAAAACCCCAGCAGGGAAAAATACCTTTTCAGTTAGTTTGTTCCTTCAACCTAATTTTAAAACTCCAAACAAACAAGCCAGTATGGTGCCCTCTGTTCTCGTTAATAAAAAAGAAATGAGGGCTTCCCTGGTGGCGCAGTGGTTGAGAGTCCGCCTGCCGATGCAGAGGACACGGGTTCATGCCCCGGTCCGGGAAGATCCCACATGCCGCGGAGCGGCTGGGCCCGTGAGCCATGGCCGCTGAGCCTGCGCGTCCGGAGCCTGTGCTCCGCAACGGGAGAGGCCCCAGCAGTGAGAAGGCCGCGTACCGCCAAAAAAAAAATAAATAAAAAGAAATGATCACAGCACTTGAAACTCCTCTAAGAAAGGTGGAATATAAATATAGTGCTTTCTAGATATGATGCCATTTATCTTCCCAGGAGGGGGAGAATAAGAGTTTTGTATGTCTTATACAAACGGGAGAAACAAGCTCCAAGAGCAAGGTTCTTGCTCAGTGTCCAGAACAGGACCAAAAAGAAGGCAGGAGCTCTAAGGATGATTGAGATGATAAATGTTCAAGTACAATGCATCACATGAACACGAAGAGGGTGCACTTAATATTACCCTAGTGGTTTTTAGATGCATCTCTATACAGGTACTTAAACTGTGGATGCTAAAAAGTGCAGGTACACATTTTTACGAATTTGTACTGAAGAAATCCTAAGTCGCCAAGATGAATGTCATTTTCAGCTTCTTCACACAGAGAAATGATCAGCTGAGCAGAACATGGAAGGCCAGGGAGTGGGGGAAGGGAAAGTCTCGGGAACTTGGTGTGCGAGGTCAAGAGAAAAGTAAACCCAAAGGATATGAATCAATGTATTCTCTTTCCGTTTTCCACGTACTGTTACTTTCCCTTTTCTGTCTTATCAAATATTCATTTTCAAGGGCTTGGTTCTACTTTATCTTTCTTTTGTAGTCTGGACCAGTGAGTTGGAGTTCTCAAAGCAACAGGACTTGAAATCAATTATTGGGCTTAATTAGGTGGTATTCGTCATGGAGAGCGATGCTGGGGCTGAGCCCCAGCCCCTCTGTGCTACCCTGCACCTCAGCCCCATCTCCAGCCACTGTTGGCTGGTTACTCCAGTCTGTGTGGCCAGACTAACCGGGTAACAGCAATGGATTATGGCAGCTTCAAGGTCAGAAAGGCGATGCAAGATGTGGGCTCACCTGCCACCTGTCGTCCTGTCATTTTGGGCCAGAGTTTCCTAGAAAAGCTGAGATGGGAGGAGCCCACCCCCCTCATTTTACCAACCAGGAAACTGAAGACCAGGTGGGGCAGTGAGGTGCCTGAGGCCCCGCAGCCCATCAGAGGCCTCTCAGCTCCCATTCCTTGCCCCTGCCCCACGCCATCCTGAACGTTTTAGTATACTTATTCTATCCTTAAATATCTGCAAAGGATTTTAAAAGGAGGGGTGCCACACCCCCTCTCTAGACTGAATCAGCCCTGCAGTCGGTGAGGTGCTGAATGTCCACTGGCTGCCTCCTGTGTAGGTGCAGGCTGGTTGTGTGTACCTCACCCACACCCTGCGGAGAGGGCCTTCTGGAAGAAAGGGGAGCCCAGGAGCTGAGGGACGGGCCTCACTCATTAAAGCTCCACAGCTGTGGTAAATCAAGGCAAACACCAGACAGAAATGTGAAGCCTCGCGCTGCTGGCCCGCAGGCTTGACCACCCTGAGAGGGAAGAGGAGACGGCGGATCCTCTGGGGTTGCTGCCCACACCTTTTCTGTGTCACAGAACACGGGGAAGGGGTTACGCTGCTTTTAAGCTGAGGGGCCATGTGGCTTATTTTTTTATTAGTAGATTTTCCAATTTTTATACAACTCTCTAGACTCCCTGGCTGGAAACCTATTAAAATGAGTGAATGATCACCTGGCTTTCTAGGATATGGGTGGAAGTAATAAGATGAGGTTTAAAACTTGCTTGGCTACCCCCATGTCCCAAACCATTTAAGAAAAAGCCAGCCGGAGGACCACCAAGGTGATGAACGGCAGGATCTTAAATTGGTGCTGTTTGGTGGAGGTGGGGCGGGCTTGTGTCACTGGAAGGAACATTTTCTTTGCAGTTGAGAGACCAATAACTAGCTCAAGATTATGCTGCAAGTTGGAAAGGTCCAGGGCTGGAGCCCAAGTCTCGGGACTCCCAGGCAGTGCTGTGTCCATTACGTCTCTGTTAGGATCCGGCTGGAAACTGGGCCACCTTGAAGCCACACTCTCTTCTCCAACAACGGGGAGAAGCAACGTTCACGAGGGTAGGATCCTCTCTCTGGCCAGCTCCATCCACGTGGCGAGAACTGCCCCAGGACTGTCTGGCTAGAGCCTCAGGGAACTTACTGCTTCGACAGGGGTAGAATTTCTTGCCAAGTTCTGATCTCACCCTCTTGGGGCTCTCTCTGAAGGGACTGACTTGGCTCAGGGACTTCGTGGAAGCATTCCGGGCCTGGCACAGTGAGCTGCCGGGAAGGCTTCCTCCAAGTTTTTCTTTTCTGTTTTGAACTCAGTGTCACTTTCAATATACTCAACATCAAAGGCTTTTTGTCAAGCAGTTTCCCACCATCTTCCCTTTCTGCCTGTTACACCCTGGGTGAGACGCGTGTATGCCCCCCCCCACCAGTGCCCCCCAAGGACCCACAAAGGCGAGGTCTCACGGCAGCCAACTGCCATTCTCCAGCCCACGCTGCCATGCAGCAAACATGCCAAGGGCCAAGCGTGACCTCACCCACCTCTCTGAAGGATTTCTTTACCTCCACCAAGGAGTGCCAGTGTGCGATGGGCTTCCGCGGGTATGCCAGCATCTCGTTCCAGTGGTCCCTGCCCAAGCCTTCGGCACTGATCCCCACACGACAGACTCCTATGATCTCGTTGTGGCCTACTCTAAGGGAGAAACAAAGGGCCCGGCATCGGTGACCAGACATGCTCTCAGAAAGGGGAGTCCCGCGGTCTCGGTCTCAGCCCCCCAGGTCTAACTCAGAATACTGAGCTCTGTAAACAGATGCTTGGCAGGCCCTCAGGGTGCCAGCGGCGGTGAAATACTGCCCAGCCTCCTTGGGCGGACATTGGACACAGACAGACAGATGAGCAAAAGGTTCTCAACTTGTTTGGAATCTCAGGAATGGTGGGAAGATGGCCTGACTTTGGGGAGTGGGAGAGTTTAAGTCTCTTCCTTTATTTGACTCAGCGAGCACTTGAGACATTAGCGCTATTGGGAAATAAATCAACCTGCTCTGAGTACCATTTCTCCATACCTAGCGGCTGTGATGTGATTTATTCGCTCAGTAAGAACATCAATCATCACTCATATTTGTTCACCCAGCATCTACTATGTCTGGGAACTTGTGCTAAAGATCCTGGATTGAGGCTTTACTGCATTTTTTTTCTCCTTCAGTGAAAGTGACACCTGGAGAGAAGGAGTCACAGTGGCTGACGTAGTTGGAGAATGTGTTTGAGCCAGCCTTGACGGGGAGGCAGGATTTGGAAAGTGGTGGAGAAGAAACACATACAAGGTGGGGGAAATCAAGTTGGATGGATATGCTGGGTCCAGATCTGGAAGGTCTCGAGAGTCCAGGGGAAGAGCTTGTCCAGACAGCAGGAGCTACTGATGGTTCTTGAGAGGGGCAGGCCCAGGAACAAAGTGGTCTTTTAGGAAGGTGTGCCTTGGTGTGTTGGCTGGGTTGAGGCAGGAAGTGATGGAGGCAGGGGTCAGCTAGGAGGGCTGCACAGACATCCCCAAGTGGGAGTGGTAGCAGCAGTGGAAACGGAGAGGACGGGGGGAGGGGGTGGGCGGGATTCTAAAGGACAGATGCCAGATGGAGGAATGGGAGTAGTCGGGGGTGAATTCAGGGAAATTGATGGGTGGGGCAGCCCCTGATGGAAATGAGCCCATTGGGAAGTGAAGCTTGAGCTTCTACTTTGGCGGGGAATCCATGCTTTTCCTCAAACTCCTGTGCCCTCCTTGGGTGGGGCCAGATTTGAGACCAATGAGTGTCTGAGCCATGAACCACAAGGTCCAAGGTCAGAGAGCCCTGTGCTGCACTGAGGTGGGGACGAGGGGCAGGGAATCGTGGCCCTCAGGGACCTGTACCTACCTATCATAATCCATGACCGAGATGAGCAGACTGACTTGATCCATATTCTCCGGGGGAATGTCAAAGATGATGGCCTCGTTGTAGACGGGGTTGAGGGTGTTCTTCTTTATGGTGGTTTTCTTCTTCTTCAGTCTCCGCCCGTCACAAAGCAGGGACACTTTGACGTATGGATCTGTGCCAATGGGGGCAGTGAGAAGGGAAGGGAGCCTGTTAAACAGATGTCCTTAAACATCCTGTGCAGCAGAAGGATGGAAGCCCCAGACCTACTGTTATTCTCAGATGGTATCAGTGGGTTGTTAAAATAATTAAACCACCTTCTGTTTAGGTAGCACACCTGTCTCTGCAGATGCTCTGCGCTTAATAAACACAGAGTCTTTGGTGACCTCAGGCTTCTTAGCAGAGTGCTTAACGGACTTCCACTAATGGGGAAGCTGGCCCCACATCAGACAGGATACTTGCCCATGGGTATGCAGTTCACTAAATCTCAACTCTATGGTTGGCTGGCCGGCTCCAAAGGGTGGGGAAGCTAAACAAAGGCACTCTGTTCCCTTCACCTACTTGCAGCCTTTTCTCTGGGGGGTCTTGTCAGCATTATTAACCAAAGCATAAAGTGGGTAAAAATAGAATCGATGACACCCAAGGAATAGCAATGAGACAGAGTAAATGAACAGCGACAGTCACGATGCTTGTCGGGTCCTCCCTACCTGAGGACAGGATTATGGGTCTCATTGTCCCATCAAGCTCATTTCCATCTGGCATCAGGGAGCGGGTAGGAGCCCTGCTCTCTGCCTCCCCGGAAGCTGTTTGTGCCCACTCTGGGCAGTGGAGGAGGAGGGTGCCATGGCCGGGGGACTGAGTGAGGCAGCCTCCTGGGACTCAGGGTGGCCGGCTGCCATTTCATCTCTCAGTGGGATCTTGGAATCTCTCCAGCCCTCGAGGAGATGTCTTTTTACTGACCTCCCACGCGCCTCCCATCCTTGTCTCTTCTTTAGTTTTCTGAATGGGTATTTCATGGTCAGCTTCCTACCCTGAAATTTTCTACTCGTCCAAGTGAAGTGACACCGATCGTATCTCATCGCTCAGGTGTCTCAGTCACCGTCATAACTGTTATTTATGCTGCACAACTCAAGAAACGGGAGGGCAACACACAGGTAATAACAGCTTTTGAGACACTGATGTGCTGAGACACCTGCTTGCCCAGAAGCCAGGGCTCCTGTGACTCTGTCAGGAGGTGCGGACCAAGCAGCCGCTCCCAGCTCCTCATTCACAGGCGTATGGCTCTATCTCCTGGGCACCCAAGTACCCAACGAGGCGCTCATGCTCCCTGGGGAATTGTTCAGGTGGCAGAAGAGGTGCACAGCTTTGGGGAAGCTACAGAGACCTGTGACATGGGATCAGAAACTCAAGCCTTAAAGGTAGTTCTGTAGATGCCCACATGTGCTACGGACTCACCAACGTGACAGCAGCAGCTGTGCCTTAGCCATGGGGGCACTTGGGTTTATGGGGTACCTGGGGAGACCATGAGGTGTTTAATCACCCTGCTGTCTCTGACGACCCATTTGCAAGGGTTCTCTCTCAGGAGGACGTTCAGTAAAAAGGAAGGAGGAGTTCCTAGAACTGCTGTGAGATAGCTTTCTCGTGTCCGCAGGCTCCATTCCCTATGGATACGCCCCGGACCGTGTTGAGGTCCAAGCAGATGGGTGGGATAGCTACCTCCGAGGCCTGTTGTGAACTTGGCAACCTCTATGCTCCTGAAGTGTGAACATTGCCTTGGAAAGCGTCTTCAGGCTTGAGGCTGCCCAAGTGCTGCCTCATCCCCTGCCATGCCTATTTCCACACACACCCACAGCGGAGCAAACCTACATGTCGCCAGGCTTGGAAAGATGTGACAGAGCCACCTGTCCCACGGGCCACTAGGCAAATGCCTGATGATTAGCTGGGAGATTCTCAGCTTCCTTCCCCACCTCTATTCACTCGTATGAGGCGTATCTAATTTATAAACTTCAGTGGGTGTTTCCCTTGAAGGAACCCATACTCTCACCATGATCCTAGAGGCTAAGCAGAGAGAGGACTCTTCCTTAGGGTGTTTGCTCTAGGGCAGAAGCCTGTGCTTCTAATGGAATGCTGGCTCCAGACGACCTTTGAGGCCCTTTCCTCTCCAGCAGCCAATGATGTTTATGCAGCTGAGGGAGGGGGCACGACGACCAGCCGTGTGTTTCAGTCTCCTTGTCATGAGGGCCATCATAATTCAGCATGCAGTATGTGTCAGGCACCACGCTAAGAGATTTACACATATCATGTCAGTTAAACTTCATGTCAACCCTATAAAATATTCATCATCCCCCTCTTCTACATAGGGAAATTGAGGTTTGAGAGATTAAGAAACTTGCCTAAGATTTCAACTTAGCTCTGACTCCAAAGTTTATATTTGTAACCATTAGAGTCAAAGCAGTGCGGACCAGATGTGGCAGAGATGGGTGTGTTCACTCACTCACCATCCCTTTGGGGTATACTGATCCTTATTATTATTTTGTATTATTTTTTATTGTCATGGTTCTGGTGGATAGGCTTAAAGAATTGACTCACGACTAGTTTAGATCGAGGAGAATAGGAAGATCCTTGGTTTTAGAGGTCAACGTCATATAAACCAAGAACAGGCAAGAACCAAGAACATCCACTCCCTAGTTTAGTCCAACATCAAAGCAGTCCAGGCTGAAGGCAACCTCAAACTTATCCTCCAAAACAGGAGATCTAGCTTGAGAAGCCCCTGGCAGGTGTGTCCCCACAAAGTTCTTTAGCCTATAAATTCATTCATTCATTCATCCTTCAATACATACTTATTCAATGCTTAGTGTGTTCCATGAACTGTCCCAGACACTTGCTTACCTCAATGAACAAAATAGAAATCCCTAGCAAAAAGAGGACCCCTGAATTTTCAGAATCAAGCTGAGATTTAATACCAGATTCCAAACCCAGGTAGAAAAGAGAGGCAATCATGAGAGGGAGGTTAGAACTTAGCGTGAGAAAAGTCTCTCACCCCCAACCCTCTGACGTGGAACAGCCTTTACGATTACCTTGGCGGCTTCGCTGTAAGCTCTCTCTCTAGCACATCAATTTAATTACACCAGAGGAGATAGTGTGGGGACTTGGGTAGCAAAATCCTATTTCCTTCAGCAGTCTTGAGCGTCCTCAGTGAATTTCTGTCCCTGCACACACTTATTTTGATATTAAAATGCAATCTACGTTGGTTGTATTTTTGGAGGAAGCCAGCTTGCTGCTGCCTAAGAGCTTTGCACGTGCCGGAAGAGGTTCTTTAAGCTCCTCACCACATCCTGATGTGTGGTGGTAGCTTCAGTGGAAAGAGGCGTCAGGGCAGGTGCTAGAGGCATTGGGTCAGGCGCTATCTGGGGCAGCTTTTGGCCTGGAAGGTATGAGTGTTGCAGAGAGACAGTGCGGGCTGGGAGCAGAGGCTCTGAGGGATTCAAAGCCACCACAGATATACCTTACTTCAGCGTTTCTTGACCACCCTTCCCTGAAACCTCATATTTCAAGGCCTAATATCTCATCTTCTTCCAAATGCACCAGGTTGGGCCTGGGCCCAGATATTTTCAGCTAGACCAGTCACCTCTTTATGGCAACTGTGATTACACTAAGGAAATAATTAATGAGTAAAAGGAAAACTCTTCCATATACTCCCAGCCAAGTTCATAGGCACCTGTGGAGTGGATTTGTATCGCTAACTGGGATTTCCAGAAGAGCCTCTTGGGTAGGGGTCTAGGGAAACAAACCAAGCCTTTCCCCGCATTTGCTACTAAGTGCAGCCCAGGCGGTTCTACGTGCCGGCTCTCCGGGACGCTCTACCCCATCCCTTGGGCTAATTTGAGCCGACACGGGGAAGGAGGCTCCTGGGACTCCTCTGTTCTATCAAAACTCAAAAACCTTCTCTGACAATGACTTGCAGAATCGTGGAAAAGGGTCAAACCTCTGACGCCGGGTCCAGCCTGCAGGCTCTGAGGCTGCATCCAAACCAGCATCTCCTCGGTTACTAGAACAGGACTTCTTTCTCCTGCTGTACCTAGCAGCTCTCCTGGTGCTGAGACAGAGGCCCAGAGCCCTGCAGGAAAACCTCAAATACAAGTGCACTCTGCTTTTCAGCGCCTCTGTTCCTTTGACTCAGTCTGCAGGGCTGCCATCGCTGCGTGGACCTACAAACGCTTAAGACACTCAAATTTGACGTAACCCTTGGAAGTCCTGAGGCCTCACACAAACTAGAAAGATGTTCCTTAATTTTTTTCACCTATTTATTTGCTTCTTCTTCTCTCCATCCTCAAAGAGAAAGAATGATAGTAATAGCCAGTATCTACTGACTGCTTATTATGTATCCGGCACCTTTCTAAGCATTTACTTGAATTAACTCGTTTATCCTTAAAGTAACCTGTGTAAGTTTTGTTTTTTTTTTTTTCCAGATCAGGAAACCAAAGCATTACACCACAAGGAAGGGGCAGAACTGGAATTCAAAGCCAGACCATTTGCCTGCAGGGCCGTGCTCCTGTTCGAAGAATACTGACAATTCTTCCCCCTTCTCTCTGAACATCTTCCCACATCCTAATATCTAGGCTGCTGGCAGGCCACTTGGCAAGCACTCGGGCAGGAGAGGTACCTGAGTAGCCTGTGATGTCCATCGCCTTGAGGTTCCGACATTTGATCACAGTGAGGGTGAGCCTGCCTGCTGTGGGCAGGTAGCAGAGGGAGAACATGATCTCTCCCAAATCCACGCTTTCCTGCAAAGAAGCAGACAAGAGGGCAGATGAGGGGCACACAGCTCCAGTGCAGCTGCAGGGCTGCTCCGGAGCCCAGGAGAAGGCTCTCTGAGGGAGAGTGCTATGTCTTTAAGGCCTGACGTTCTGGCCTCCATGCTGAGAGTAACTGGGTATAAAAGGCAATGATAACAACGCTGGGTCTTCAGCAGAATTTGTCCCCTTCAGTATTCCTTCTGAGCTCTGATCAGACTCTGGTCCTCGTCCTCCCCCTCCTGCTTTGGCCTCACCTGCCCTACCTATGCCCTTTGGCTGCAGCCTCCAGACCACCAGGCCTTTTGGGGCCCAGCCCTATTCTCCAACTTACCCTTCTCAGTCACTGGACCCCTTGACTCCCCACCCTGCCTGGCCTGGGGTCATGACAGTATTCTGTACGAGACCCACTCTGGCCATCAGGGGTCCCCTCTCCCCACATATCTGGTTCTAGCTCTCAGCTCAGTCATTCTTTGTGAGTCCCTCTGCTTTGGCAGCTTCCTTGCCTCTCCTGAAACACATCTAGCCCTCCAACTTCCAGGCTTCAGTGTGGAAGCACGGGGAATCAGGACCTGCCCAGGATATGGGCTGACCAAGAAGACGTACACGCGTCATTCCAAGTTTGTGCCAGGTCTTGGATCCGCTCTGTCCTTAAATGTGGTCCTGCTTCAGAAGTGAACCCAGCATGGAGCACACACTCTGCTGCCTCTCCTGCCCCTAGAATCATCATGACCAGGGATCCCAATCCTAGGAAGATTCTGAGCAACAGGGAATAGGAAAATGTCAAAGATGGTGAGCGTGTCCAGCTGTTGAATTAAACAGCGCCCCGCTGGACTGCCTTCTCTTCCTGTGCCACGCCTGGTGGAGGAGGGTGCTGTCACTGCAAAACCTCTCCCTCGGGCTCTGAGGCTGCCGGGGGGCTCCAAGACATGGAGGTGTTTCCCCTCTTAAATCTCCCAGACCCAGGGTAGAAGAAGAGGAGGTCGGGGTTTGGGCTGGCTCTGATTTCAGATGCAGATATCCATTTGTTCACTCATTCAGTCAGTCAACAAGTAGTAATTGAGCACCTGCTATGTGCCAGGTGTTGCTCTGGGTATGGAGATATGGAAAAGAACAAAATAGACAAAAATCGCTGCTCTAACGGAGCTTACATTTTAATAGGACAAAGGACAAGAAAGATGGTAAGTAAGTTGGTAAAAAGGATCGAGGAGAAAAAAATAAGGCAGGGAAACAGGATATGAAATGCTCATGAGTGAGGCTATAGTTGTTGAAATTTTAGACAGGGTAGCTGGGGAGGCCTCCTGGAGGAGGTGACTTTTGAGAAAGAGTGCAGTCAAGGGTGGCTCCAAGGTTCTTGTCCCTTCTCCTCACAAAGTAACACCCTCTACTGGGGACTCCAAGAGACCCCTGATACTTGGCCTCACCTGGAGAATAACCCACCACCCCTTCCAGAGCCTGTGGTCTCAATGCTCTCCCCTAGGTGGCACTGATACCCACCCTTTCCCTAGCCCAGGATTTGTCCTTTTTTAACCCTCTGGTGAATCAAATCCCAGGAGTAGCAGGTGAATCCTCCCGGCTCCCTGGGTGAAGAGGTGGAGGGGGCGGGGGTATTGGGGGTGGATGTGAGGGGTGGAAGGGTGGTGTCTGGCTGGGGCAGAGCTGGACACAGCGTAGAGAGAGCTACCCCCACCCCCCCACCCCAGCACAAGAGCCAAGACCATCACCCACGAGCTCCTGTGCCCCACGAAGCTCTTCTGTGACGGGCAGCTCCACCTCTGAGGCTCACAGCCACTGTGCAAGGCAGGGTGCATTGGCATTATTCCCTCCATCTCACAGAGAAGAATTCAGTGTTTAAACTTGGGTGTAAAGTCCTGACCAGGCTTGCGTGGCTGGTGGGAGACACAGCTGGACTCCGACCCCTAGGAGAGCAACGCCCTCCCAGCCCACCTAGGGAGCACCTCAAGGTAACCCTGGCTCCTCTAGACCTTAGACCACAACTTCACCTGTTCTTCTGTTTGTATTTGCCGAGAACCTGCTAGAGGCACCATGTTTAGTGGGGTGTAACCAATTAAAAGAAGGCACCAGGATCTCCCTCTCCCTCAGGGAGACACAGGAAGTGGCCCATGACAGGTGCTGTGGGTGTATGACTGTCCCCTCACGCAGCAGGGGTCGGGTCAGCAGTGCACCTGGCTGAATGTTCCATCTCTGGCAGGGGCACCGAGGTACAAGGAGGCCCCCAGCTCCCTTTATTTCCTTGTAACTCTCCAATCCTGCCCAGACTTAGAGAAACCCTTTCAGACGCAATAACAGGAATAAGAACCAAGGTTATTGCATGCGTACCAGGCGCCAAATCCTTTACTAAATTATCTCCGTCGAGTCGCACCACAGCCCCGTGAGGTAGGTGATCTTAGTATCCCTACTGCACACAGGAGGAAATGACTATTTGGTGAAGTTAAGCCTTTCCTAGGCCAGCGCGGCTGCTTGCACGCTCTCAGTGGCTCCCCTTGTTAGGCTCCTGGAATCAAGGCCCATCTTCCCAGCTTGCATTCCGAACCCTCAGCAACCGGGTCCTGTCTTCCCTCCTCACCTGATTATTTCTCTCTGTTCCTCTATGCCAACCCTCTGCTCCAGCTGGCTGGTATATCTTTGGTCCCTTTGGCCAAAATGCCTCCTCCTCTTATCTTTGCTTGGACAATCCCATGCCTCTTGTAGGGCCCAGGGCCATGCCCCTCACAGGGACCCTCGCCCAGGGTCCAGCCCACACAGAGCATATCTCCCCTACACCCCTGCAGCACTTTCTGTCCCTGAGCTGCTCACAGGGGTTACGGAGTCCCTGCCTTGCTGCAGCTGGGCCCTCCCATGCCGTCCAGGGACTGGAGGCCCCTTAGGGGCAGGGGCTTTGCTTTACACCTGCTGGGCTTCAGGGGTGCCCGATAGTACAAGAGGAGCTACACACACGCCCGGATCATGTTAGGGCCCTGGTGAGGAATCTGGAAGCTCCTAGGGCCCCCCTGTGAGGGGGGGGTGAACAAAAAGCTGCTGTCACCCTTTCCCCACACGGCTACTCTGGAGGCTTCGAAGGCTGTCTTGTCGCAGGGGTCTGAGCTGATTGGTTTGTGAACTGGGGAGACTTGCCTGGGGATGTGGGAGATCCCTCAGGGTGAACGGAATCATCTGGGGTGCTATGGGCTGCCCTCAAGGATGGCTCCCTCTAGGGAGAGCACCGACCCAGCAGGCCCCCTCCTTTTGTGGTAGAACTGTGGCAGCTGGGGGGCACTCGTGGTGCTGAGTCTGCAGCCAGGTTTGGAACCCCCACCCCCATCCTGGTCCCTGCACTGAATAGTGAGCTCCACCCTCCATCGTTGGGCCCGGACAGGCAAAGGGAGTGAGCCAATATCCCCCTACGACTTGGACGCAGAGAGGAAACTGGGGCCGGGGGGCCCGAAGCCCAGTCCAGGACCTTCTGCTGTGGGTGACTGGGCCTCGCTGGACCTGATGCCAAGATAGCTGCTCTTGGCTCCGTGGATCAAGGGGAGTGTAATTCCCCTGCACACGTAGGCAGCAGAGGACGGGTTATTTGATAAAGGAAAATAAATGGGTTACTTTCGAGTAAATAGATGGAGCTGAGCAAACAGAGTCAGCATCTCCTGGTCGCCACCTTCCTCTCTGCAAAGCCAGGCCCAGCTTGACCCCATGGGCGGCCTTCCTGGGTTCTCTCAGCACCACCCCCTTTCTCAGGGGGTTTCAGCCCCAGATTCTGTGCACCTTGCCAGCCTTTTATCCTCATTAGGGATGTTTGCGACTTTGGCTTTAATAAAACCAGGGGTGACCAGGGGCCGCAGAACAGCCAGCGTCTTATTGCTTTCATCTTCACCCTCTGTCAGGGGAGGCCGCCATAGGGCCCCTGGCTGGTAATGAGCTCCCTGGTGCTGGGGAGGTCACTGCTGTCCAGAAAGCAGCAGAATCCAAGTTGCCCCTCTCGACTGCTAACCCAGGGGCTGAGAGCGTGGGTCTGAGCCCAGTAGCAGCTGGTAAGCGTCTTGGCTAATGCTTGCAGGGGGTAGGCCTTCAGCCAGGATGTCGGCTCCTGGAGCAGTCTGTCCTTACGTGCATACAGCCTGTCCAGCTACGTTGTCGCCCGTTATGGTAGCACTCTCCCCTGGCTGCAGTATCCAGGCGTCTGGGCAGGAAGATTTGTAAAGGCCCATCTATTGCACCACACCGCCCTTGCTGTCCCCAGCTGCCCATCTGCAACAGCTCATTAAAGCACTCCTCTCTCCTTGATGCACTCACACAGCCGTAGGCATAGAAAAAAAATTCCTATCCGTGGACTGTCCCGGAAAGAGCAGTGAACCACAAGTCACTGCTTGTGGAGGCGTTAGTCCCTCCACCACTAACTAGTCCAGAGATGTCGGGCTCATCATTTCACATCTCTGGGCTTCGGTCTGTAAAAATGAGGGCGTTGCACTAGATGTTGTAGCCTTAAGGTCCCTGCCAGCCATAAAACCCAAGCATTCAAACTGGAAAATCCATTATCAGGCATCATCAACTGAGATGGCCCAAGGATGCTTAACTGGTGTCTGTTTATTACCCACCTCAAGGTATCTAGCAACTTTGTTTTGAAATTCAAAGACACTCATTCCTTCCGTTCCTAATGCCCCCCAAGTGTTTTTTGTTCTTCTCCAGGGCTAGCCTTCCTCCCCCTAAATAGGCGATGAGCGGCGTCAATGTCTCAGCATCCCTCTTGGGAATCCAGGCTGAGCGAAACAAGAACGATGCTTCCCCATCTCTTAGAGAACACTTCTAGTCTCTTAATCATTAAGTGGCTTGCCTGAATTTCCCATCAACAGCAGAGGAGCATCCGCTACACTTTCAGAAAAGCCACAGGAGAGTAAAAGGATCTCTGAAGCACTAGGCAGAAAGTGCTGTTAAGTTACCCTGGGGCTGGGGGGCTGGAAGAGAGATGGGGTGGAAGCAAGTTTGCCTCCAAT